CTTAATCTTATTTGAATATTTTAGTATTAATTTTTAATTTTATATCAAAACATATATTTATTTAAAAATTATTTAAAAAAACATAAAAAAAGAATGATGATTTTCATCGTTTTGTTAGTAATAAATCTGGAAAGGGAATGATGTAAAAATCAGGCTTTCAGTTTTTAGCTTGATTACAACACTTGAACAGGATCAGGGAATTTAAAAAGTCTGAACTCTGGCATAAATCTCTAAATGGTTCTAAAAAAATCTCTTTTTAGAACCTCTCTTTTTAGAAAAGATCTACCTTATTATGTTAGAAAATTAAAAAAATATGTTAAGCTTTAAGTTAAATATTTTTAGAATTAATTTCTGAAGACGAAATTCTGGCTAAGCACTACAAAAATGCATTGTTTAATAAAGATTGTCCAATTGAACGATTATCGGATATGTACGCGGCTAATTTTATTTCTTTTGTAAAAGCAATCGAATATAATAGAAATTTAAAATCAGAAAAGAAAGCAGCTTCGGAATGGAACGAATGGAAGAATCCAAACATTAGAAATATTTATTGCTATTTATTTGAAAATGGTTAATTATTTTAATTATAATATTTTAAAAATATATTTTTAATTTAAAAACACTTATTTTAAAATAATTTTCCGATTAAGGAAAACTCCGATCAATTAATTCATAAATTTATACAAATTTAAAATATTTTCCTACTAGCTAATGGCTTGATATAATGAGTAATCTTTATTGTGATTAAGACATCCCATATACCGTATTATCTCTTATACAAGCCCAGGGCGTCTATCTTTCAATACTCCTTATTGGGTGGGCTTCTATTAGAGACAATATAAATTTATTCAATTAAAAAATATTTCTTTAAATTAATCTAAAAAATTATAGATAATCCACAAATTAATCTACTTGGTATATATAATTATTTATATACTTTTATGGCACATGTGCATAATTATTTGGAAGATTTAAAGAAAGGAATTAAAAATAATTATGGAATTAATTCTTTGAATGAAATTAGCGATAAATTTTTAAATGAAGAATATGAAAAATATTTTAAAGAAATTAAAATTGAAACAAATACTGTTAAAACAATGATCCAAAAACAAAATTTTTTATTAATTCTAGGATTACAAGATTGTAAGGGAAAGGATAAAATTGGGTTAAGAGAAGGTTTATAAATTAAATAATTTTAAATTGGGGGAAGAAAACGACCGATAGAATTGTATTTTAGAAAATTTAGAAAAACACTCCAAAAGCTGTCTCTATTTTAAATAATTTTGAGAAAATAATTAAATAATTCATAATCTATTTATTTAGCTATTAGAGATAATGAATCAATTATTATGAAAGATTTGGAAATTTTTGTAAATAAAGACCAAGCTTTTACAATAGTAAAGTTGAGTTGTGATGATGATAAAATTGATGAAAATGAATATTGTGTAGATAACGAATTAAAAGACAAAAATTGTAAAAAAAATAAATTAATAAAAAATATGTATAAATAGTTATTCCGTGTCCGGAAATTTGGGCAGTGGATAAGTGGGGAGTAAGCAATTGTCCGCTCACTCCCCAATTGTACACTCCCCAAATCTCCGAGAGCCAGTTATTCAATTAAATACACACCCCCCCCCCTAATTTTTTTGAGATATTGAAAAAAATGGTGGCCATTTAATTAAAATAAATATGACATATACTATATTATTTATTTTGAAAAAATTAATTTTATTTTTAAGATTTCAATAATGATATAAAATTGGCTTTTCATTATAGCGAGGCATTATTTAATGAGGAAATAGGAGAAAATTTAAAACATAAAGTTTGTGATAAAAAAATAAAAATAAAATAATTATTTATAATTTAAGTTTGCCGCAGCTTTTATTGTTTGGAATAGAGCAATAATTAAACAAATAAATAATTTACAGAATTGGCCTAATCAAAGAGTACGCAACAGCGTTCTAAATGCTTGGGAATCAAATAAAAATGAGGAATATTTTTGTTTAATATTTTCGGTATTTTAATATATGGAAATTTGAAAACTGAAAATTAGGCCTGAATTCTTGTGAAATAAATTAATAGAAATTTCGTAAGAAAATTAGAAAGAAAAATAGGAAAGAAATTTTTTGTTTCTTATTTAAAATGAGAATACTAAGGAAATAGTATGTATATGTGTTGTTAAGGACATATGTACCTTCTAAGCCATTTAAGGTGTTCAGAAAAAAATAAGGAAACACTTAAAAATTCAGGCGATGCTGATAATTTCTAAAAATGAGTAATTCACTTGAACCATAACAATATTTGAAATTTGGGTATTTGAACAATATTTGAAACCCTTGGGTACCCCTGTTGATAACCAGTAGTAAACAATATTAGATCTTGATTAAATTTAATTTTAAGACTATATATTAATTAAAAATAAAAAGCTTTTTTTTCTTCTTCAAGCAAATAGATGATTACAAAGATTTATTTGGCTATGGAGATCAGCTTAATTCATGGTTTGAACAAATGAAAATAATTATAGAAAAGAGGCAAAAACGTGGAAAATTTTCTAAAGGAGAAAAAAGTTCTGCTGAAAGTTTGAAGGAAGAATTTCAAATACTGAAATCTAAAATTTTTAATGATTCAATTTATAAGTCAGCTAAAACTGAATTTGTGAAATGGATTTGCTCTGAACACTTTGAACTTTTAAATAAATTATTTTTTGCTGAAACTGATTATGGAAATGAATTAAGGGTGAAGGTGTTAGAAGGTAAATATAAATAATTTAAAATTAGATCTAAATTGATCTTAATTAAGTAATAAATAACCCTGTTTTATCTTGCCTCAAAAATGGCTACCATACTCATCGGGTTTAAATCGTGTGGATTACTCTTTTTTGGTCAATCACTCGTTCGGGAATAAGAGAAAATCTAACCCGGTGTGGTGAGAACTTTTGCCCAAAATTTTTCCGCGCGTCTTAACTTCTGTTTCTGAGCAATTGGTGGGAACTTCGAAAATTTTTGATAATATGTATTTGTTCCTTATTTATTTCTCTATCATTTAAATTTTATTTAATCTCCTTATTTTTAAGTTGAATAAAGTTATGGTTTAAATAAAGTGTCCGATTACTTTTATGTCACCTTGTAATTTAGGAATAAAATTTTTTTCTCAAATATGCTCAAATTGGGAGATTTTTGTTTTTTCTTTTACAGGATGGGTTAATTAGTAGAAAGAGTTGATGGATTTGAGGTGGATCTCGATGAAATCGACTGAAAAAATCAATTTATTTTTTGACATTGATTCTTAAAATGTTCCTTTAATTAAAATTGATAATGATTTTCTAATATTTTTAAAATTAGTGTAGGAAGAAAAGTAGGGGGTAATTATTTAAGAGAGTGTAATTATTTGAACAAGCATAAGAATAAGTGGTAGTTTTGAGTTCTTTTAGGCTTTTTACTTGTTCTTTTAAATAGGTAAATTAAGAGAATCTAAAAGAAAATATTTTTAATAATTGATACCTTTTTAAGCAATTAGTGAAGACTCTTTATTGAGAAGATTGGAATATAGTGGATTTCTTAGTAAAGAAGGTGCTTTAGGTTTAACTGCCAGTCTTAATAATTTAAAAAATACAAATGAAAATGAAAAACAAAAAGAAAATAAAAATAATAAAAAGAAGAAAAATAAAAAGAAAAATAAAGAAAAAAATAAAAATATTTTGGAAAATAAAATTAATTTAGAGGTGGAGGAAGAAATTCAATCAGAAAATCTTGATAATTTAAAAGAAGAAAAAAATATTATTGAGGATAGGCAAAGTAGCAATATTAGAATAAGTATAATTTATTTTTTAAATAGGAAATTTGAAATTTAAAATAAAAAAAATTATTTAAAAATAATTTTTTAATTAAAATAGGTGAAATACCGAACAATGAAGATAATGAGAAAAATGAATTAATTAAGGATTCTAAAAATAATTTAAAAATACTAACTAAGAAGAATTCAAGAAAACAAAAACAGCAACAAAAACAAATAGAAGAAATTCCGAGTTTTAAACCCTTTTTACCTAAAAACTATTTAGAAAAGGAAGAATTATTAAATGGTTATAAAAAATTTGGAAAAGGGACTGGGTAAGTTTTTTGAAGGGTTATATTATAATGAGTCTCCCCGTGGCTGTTGGCATTCTGAGAACTCCAGAATTTTCGCCCGGGGCGCTAGGAAAGAATCACATATCATTTCGTTGTCCATTATTCTCTTATCATGTCTCGAATATCCTCACACAATTATCCCCCATTCCCAAATATATGTAATTATGTTACACCTCAAACTGTGTTATACTGATCACTATAAACATGAGTTATATTTTATATAAAAATTATTCATAAATTTAGAACTCCCGAACTAATTCCTTCATTAAATATTGGGTGTATTGTTGTTGAAGTCAATAAACGTTTGGGTATAATCTCACTAACAGACTCGGAACAACAAATTAATTTAGAAAATTCTTCATTTAATTTAATCCAAATAAAAGAAAGAATTGTTGAAATGAAAGAAAATTGGTTGAAATTATTGGAAGAATTTGGAGAGATAAAAACAGATAAAAGACTTGAGGAAATAGGAAAAATAGTCCACAATTTTTTGAAAGAATTATATTTAAAAAATGAAGGTTTAATTTTATTTTTTATTTGTTAAAATGTAATTAAAAATGGTTGTAAGTAACTAAGGAATTTTACGTTGAAAGAAAAGCTTCAGCAAATTTTGAATTATTATTAAGCCTGTGACTAGAAAAATTATTCTTTTTTTGACTAAAATTTTAGGCATTTTTCGCTCTAAGTTGCATCATTTATAAATCCAAAATTTATAAAAATTGCGAGAAAATTATAAAAATCCGCAAAATAATCCGCAATTGCATGCAGCATTAATTATTTAACTATTTCAAATAATTAAACATTTAAAATTAAATTTAAGAAAATTTTGATGAAAACAATTCAGGCGAAACTAAAAAGATTATTGTTGCGAATGAATCAGAAATTAAAATAATTACAAATTATTTACATATTAAATATTTAATGGAAGCTTTAATACCGGATAATAAATGGTCAAAAATAAGACATTCTAGGCAAAAAAGAATTCTGTGTACTTTTTTAAATAATGAAAATATTAAAAATAAAATAATTGTTGATAATTGTGAAAATGAAAAAGAATTGGAAGAGGAATTTAATTTAAAAGTTGTTGAATGGAAAATAATTGAAAATCAAATGGAAATAGGTTAGGGGGAAGGGGATTATTTAATTATTTAAATTTAAAATTCTGGTGGATATCAAAGATATCACAGGTTACCTGAGCCCGATATTCGATCTAATGCGGATTTTGAAAAGCCGCACACCCGACCGACTCCTTTTCTCTTAACCCGTGGCATCCTTGGTAGATATAGACAAAATATTAAAAAAATATATTATAGAATAAACAATTTTTTAGTAAAAGAACAAGAAATTCCACAAGAATATTGTTACAAATACAACAATAATTCTCTAATAGATTTTCATTTATTACAAGAACTTCCATATGAACAAACAGAAAATAATGAAAAACAAGAAGAATTATTTACTAATAAAGTAAATAAATATTTTTTATTTTTTTTATAATAAAAAATATTTTTCTAGTTATTAGAGTTAATTGAAGAATTAGAAGATTCTTCATCCAAAGAAAATGAGGAAATGGCCATAAAAATAATTTTAAAAGAAATAAATGAATGGTCTAAAGAATTTAATTGTTTATTAAATAAAGAATTTATTTTGGGAGGTTCTCATTTATTGGGAGGGAAAATAAGTAAATCAGACATTGATTCTATTTTAATTATTCATGAAGAAATTGAGGATGAAAATAATAATTTAATTAAATGTCCAATAACTTCTTTTGAGTTTTTTGGGCCAGAATTTGTTGATTGCCAAAATTTAGAAAATGGATGTGGTCATTTAAATAAATCTCTTTATTGCAGATTTTGTGGATATTTTGATGTATATTTAATTAATTTTTTTAAATTTGGATAGCTAATTTTTCTTTACACAGTTTCATTTGTAGGCCATCCGGATATCTGAAAACTTTAGTTCGTTTATCAGTTCCGGATATCCGAAGATTTTCCAAGAACTGCTAACTCTAGTAGGTACATTCCTGGGTAAAAAATTACACCTTATAATGAGGCGTACCTTGAATGTACTCTGAAGTGCTACTCACGGGCTAATTGAAGAATTGTATCCTTAAGATATTTTTATATCTTTAAAATGTGAATTGTCTAGCTACAAGTGATATCCCGATGTATAATAATTAAATTTTAAACATATTATTTAAAATTTTTTATTTTTTTCAGAAGGAAATTACTTTCCTATATAAAATTAATTCTCGAATACAAACGATTAAATTGAAAATTTTTGGTATTGATGTTGATATTTCTTTAGTTTTAATTTCTGGTAAATTTATTGGAAAAATTGAAAATTTAAATACTCAAACAGAAAAAGGAATTAATAATTTTAATGAAATATTTAAAAAATTGGAAATATTGATTGAGAAAAGTGAAGAAAGTAAAAGAAAATTGGAAATGAAATTGGAGGTATTTTTTTAAATAAATTAATTTGAGCTTCTCTGGGCTTATAATTCCAAAAAATTGCCTGGAATGCCCGGGTTTTAAAATTTATAAATCATTTTAGATCATTTCCTTTTGTATACAGAAATCTTAATTATCCTTCAAGTCCTTTTAAAATTTAATTGAAAATCTCAAAAAAATAATTTAAGGAACATGAAAATAAATATAAAAATAAATTAATTGAGGAAGAAAATAAAATAGAAAAATTAAAAAAAGAAAAGCCTTGGTTATTAAATATTAAAATGAGTAAAGAATTAATTGAAAGAAATCGTTTATCAAAATTAATTTATTTTAAAAATAAAGAAATTGACCAAATTAAAGGAAGAATGTTTTCAATTGGAGGGTATAAATCAAACAAATTAATTTTGGAAATTATGGAAATTAATGGAAATAATAAATTAATTGATAAATTTAGAATTGTTTTAAAAATGGTGAAATATTGGGCTAAAGGTTTGTTTTTGAGGGATTTTGTGGGAATTTTGTGGAAATTTAATTTTAATAATTATTAAATTGATAGGATTATTTATAGAAGGAGATAGGTAGATTTGTTGAATTTAATTTGATAATAAAATTAATATTAATATTTTTGGTTTTTGGGGAATCCCTGGATATACGGATCCGATATCTGAACCGAAAATTTCCAGAAATCCATACTTTATTCCTATTCGAATAGCCAGAACCTTCACCCTAGTTACTTCTATATTAATTAAAAATAGGATATATATTCTAAAATAATTTTTATGTATTTTTTAAGGTAATTTCATTTACGGAGGGAAATATGGCTTTTTAAATGGATCTTCTTTATCTATTTTAACAGCAAAATTAATTCTTTTATTTCCTAGTGGTTCTGTGCTTTTTCTGTTGGAAAAATTCTTTTTTGTCTATTTAAATTGGTTTTTAAATTTTTATTTTTAAAAAATAATTTTAATTTTAAAGGAATTGGAAATACCCAATAAAAATTGAAAAATTAACAAATTTTGGTTCTCAAGGATGGAATTATAATTTGGATATTAAATCAAAAAATAATTTAACTAAAAATGATGTTGAGGAAATTAATAAAGAAAGAAAATTAAAATATTTAATTCCAATGTTTATGACAATTATAACACCTGGATATCCTGAACAAAATACAATGTTTAATGTTAACCTTTCAACTTTTGAAATTATTCAGAGGGAATTAATTAAAGGTAAATAATTGTAAATTTATTTTTCAAAATTAAATATGAATGAGGGCCTTCTAAATTGTCAAAATTTAACGAGGCATTAGGTTTATTTAGAAATTCTATACTCAGAAGACTTATTAATAGATAAAAGTTATTTCTGTAATACAGTTAAATGTCTTTCCGTTTTTTTATTGAAAGTAAGGCTGTCAGTTTCATAAATTCTTTGGTTAACCGAAACCGAACCGAAAATCTTCGGTTCGGTCCGCTTTGAAGCTGACAACCCTAATCGAGAGCACAATTAAAATTCAATTAATGGTCGGAATTATAATCTTACAGATTGAAATAAGATATCTATTGTGAATTTAAAGTTAATTCTCAATTTATTTAACCATACTCCCAGGACGATAAGTAAAATCGGTGAATTTATTTTTTTAATTAAATATTATATTCAAATATGTATAATTTTAAAGGTTATTTAAAAATGAAAGAATTAAACAAAATAAAAAATGAAAATGAAATTACATTGGCTTTAAAAGAATTTATTGGAAGTGAAAATAAATTTATACAAAAAGTAAGGGGCACTTTTTTAATTTTAAAATTAAAAATAAATATTTAATTTTTAGTATGACCATTTTATGTTAATTTCTTGTATTTCTGAAAACAACAAAAATTTGGAAAAATTTTGTTTTTTTATTGAGAGCACAATCAGAATTCAATTAATTAATTTAATTATTGAAAATATTAATTTACGTTATACACATTTTTGGGAAGAACCAATTAATAAATGTTTTGTTGAAGGTGGAAAGAAATTTGTTGATAAATTGGAAAAGTATAATTTTAATTTTTGTTAAAGATTAAAAATAAATTTAGGAAAAATTTTAAAAAATATCCTTATCTATTAGTTGGCGTCATAATTAGTGTCTCAGATGTCGAGGGAGACGGCTGTTATTAAGCTCGGCCGGTTTAAATGAAATCCCGTTATTTCTACTGCTTAATTGTCGAGGGATAACTGCTGCTATTTACATTTGGATCTCGTTTTTATTTATTTAGTGATGAACAAAATATATGTAAAATCGGATATCTGACTATATTTGGTACACTAATCCTTCTAAAGTTTTGCAAATTTTTTTTAAATGATATGGTCCTCCTAAATATTTCTAAATTTGATCATTTTTGTTTTTTAACTCATAAATTTCCTAATTTTAATATTAATTAATCTTTAGTGGTTCAATATGTAAATTTTGGTTAGTTGGGTTAGAAAAGGAAGAAGACACAAAAGAATTAAATAAATATATTGGATTAGAAAAATTTTCAGAAGAAATTCGGGAAAGAATTCCAAAAATATTTAAAAATTCTGGAAATAATATTCAAACATTTTATTTGACACAAAATGATTTATTATTACTCGATTAAAGAAATATTTTTAAAGAAAATAAATTATTTATAGAGACAGGATTTTTAGCCACGATAAAGTTAAGAATAGGCGCCTATATAGGCACTAAAAAACTGCCAAAATAGGCACTAAAATCTAAAAAAAGGCAAAATAGGCAGGCTTTTTTCGAGATTTTCTGATTTAAATTGACTAAATTTTATCAAAAAAGATAAATCTAGGCAGTAAAATGTTAAATAAATAAATTTTGACGATCAGAATTAAATATAAATTAATTTATATTAATATTTTTGTTTACGAAAATAATTTGATAAATTTTTCTGAAGAAAATTTTTCCCAGAAAAATTTTTTACAAAAATTTTTTGGAAAAATTTTATATTTCATAAGAAAAAAATTTTTTTAGACAACAATTTTCGCAAAAAATGCCCAAAAATTCGCAAATTTTAGTAAAAATATGCAAAATAGGCTGAAAAAAGGCAAAATAGGGCATTTTGCCAGAAAAAGTTAAAATAGGCAATTTTAGGCAACGATAAAAGTTGTTTGAAAGCAGGTTTCAAAAAAATAACACCAGATTTGGACGTTTTAGCATCAGGCCTATCCAGGAAAAAAACAGGCATTTTGCCTAAAATCCTGTCTCTAATTATTTATGTAAATTATTTAGGCATACCATTTTATTTTTGTTTGATAAAATTGTTTATTTTTAGTTTTTATCCGTTGGCGTGAAAATATTAAAAATTAGCAGCAAATTAAATTCAGCTTATAAAATAAATTTCAGTTTATAATATAGTAAAAGAAAATATCCAAACCGAAATTTTTGGATATCATCCAGCATCCGAGATTTTTTTCGGATCTGATACCCCGATCCGCCAAACTTACTCCTAATTTCAACTAAACAATTATTAACTATTAGTAATTTAAAATTTTGTAAAATATTATAGCATATAATTAGTAATTTAACAGCTTTTTTCAAATTAATTTTTGTTTTCGACATTCTACACTTCTAAATTATACTACTCTAGTATGATTTTTATTTATTTTTTCAAATTTCCAATTTTATTGGGCTCTGTTTAAACTTTAAAGCAATAAAAGTTGCTACAAAATAGGCTTGATGCCATCTAGTAAAAAGATTAAGACCATTTAATAGGTGTAAACTATAGCTACAAAAATTCACTTAAAGAAGGCCAAAATAAAAATTTTTAGAGTAAACATTAAAAAGCATGAGAAGAAACATTTTTTCCAAATTAATGGCCGACAAAGTATTTATTTTTTGATATTTAGTCGAGAAAAGAGTAAAACAGAAAAACTAAATTTAATTTTGGGGTAATATTTTCTGTTTTGGTCCAATAAATATAAGGATTTGTAAACAAAAATAAATTTAAAATGAAAAACATGTGAATTATTATAATTAGTCTAAAGGAATATAGTAATTCTGTACTAAAAAATTAATCTTTTTTTTTATTCGGAAAAAGATCAAATTTTCTGTTAATTATTTTTCAATTTTTTATTTTACAATTTTTCTAAATATTTTTAGCGAAATAAATAACCCTTTAAAATATTTGCAGACTTGTGATTTTGTTTTTCTGCCATAAATAAAACACAAAAAAAAATTTTATATCTATTAGCTTAATACACAGAAACACCCCATAAATACTATTTTAAAAACAAACTTTTTCTAAATTTATTTATGTAAAATTCTTTTTTAATTAATGATTATAAATATTTATTAGATATCGGATTTTTGGGTTATAAAACCGTAAAGTAGGTACTTAAATAGGTTGTAAAAATATCAAAATCTGTTTCAAAAATGAAAGATAGGTTGCAAATTAAGGCAAAAATGCTGAATATTTTGTATTTTCCGTTCAAAGATTTCATTGGCATAACAAAAATGTTAAAAAATTCTCATTCTTTATACCGAAAAATATTAATTAGGAGAAAGTTTGTTGAATTTTTAAAAAATATTTTTCCATAAATTAAAAATTTTTTGTTATGCGAAGAATCGAAAAATTGTAAATTTTTTCAGAAATTCATAAAAACTGCTCAAAACAGGTGACAAAAGCATAGAAGCCTTTATAATAGGTTACACCTTATCTTAGGTGACAATAACTCCCTGCAAACAAAACATTCTTAAAAAATAACAATGGATTTGAGCTCAATTCATCATAACTATTTTGCAAAAAATAGGTTCTAAATAACCCAAAAATTAGAGCCCTATCAATCAAAATACTTTTTATTTTAGAGATTTTAATTTAAAATATTACCAAGATAAAGATGAAATTAATTAAAATTTTCTTTTTAATATTTTATTTATTTTTATTTTCATCATGTCGTAAAGTGCCTTATGGTCCTAATCAATTACACAACAAAAGCTTACATAATGGTACTACAAAGAAACCGAAATAATTATTGTTAACAAAATGCTTAAAAAAGGAATACAATATAAAGGAAATTAAAAAATATGGAAAAACATACATTTTAAATAGAGCCCGGACGGAGGGCTCGGTCGATATTTTTTCGATAAATATCGAAAAATATCGAAACCGAAAAATATCGAAAAAAAAGTCTCGATATTTTTCGATTTTTCAAAAATTTTTCTATAACCAGTGAATAACAGAATAGACCTAATAGTTTAATGAGATTAAGATTTATTAAGTCGGATTAAATGTAATATCAATGAACTTGTATTTGATATCGAAGGATCAAGGGGATATAAGTGGATTTTAACTAGGGTGGATATGGATTAAGGTGGATATTGATTAAGGTTGATATTGATTAAGGTGGATATTGATATCCGTTTTGAAATCCATTTCTCACAAAGCTCCGTCTTGATCCCTCGAGATCCATTTTATCCACTTAATCCTATATTAGTTATACAAATAGTCGATTACCCTGGATATCCGTCATGATCCTTGGATATCTCAAATATCCCACCAAATCATCGGATATCCCATCAAATTACTCTTAACCCACTGAAATCTCCCTTAATCTCCTTAAATCTCCCTTAATCTACTCCCTTAATCTATATTTGAGATATCCAAGGATCATGACGGATCTTTCTTAATTCATATCAGTGTTTTGTGGGAATATCGAGGGAATATGATGGATTAAGGGGACCTGGTTTTATGAGGGTAATTACCCTGGGTAATTATTATTTCTACCTAACGCTGGAGGGGGTAATTAATCATGAAGAGGTGCTAAATTTGGAGTATATCTAAATAGATCGAGGAGGAAATTGAGTTATTTTTTTGATATTATGTCTTAAAATGTTTCAATAATTAAAAATAATAATGATATTTTCAATATTTATTCTTGAAATTTGTGTAGGAAAAAGAGAGGGTAATTATTCGAGCATTTACGGTATATTTTTAAGCAAAATATATGTAATTATGCAAATTTTTAGCTTTCTTTAAAATTTTGCAAAAACTGTCGCAAAATTTTTGTTTATGTTGAAATTTTAGAAATTTTAGCGGCGAAAGAGAAGCAAGTGCATGTTTTCATGCGGATATGCCATAATGAGAGAAGCCCAAAAACGATGTTTTTACTTTGGGGAAATCCTAATGGGGGAAAAATTAAAACAATGTTTAGGGATTATTTGTTTTTTTACAAAAGTTTGTGGGTGCTTAAACTTTCTTGACGGAGTGTATGTAAATAGTTCTTTAAAATTTATAAATTAAATGTATAAAATAAAAATAAGAAAAATTAAAAAGTTTGAAATTTTTAACTTCAAAATAAATTTATTTTTTGCTATTTTGTATCAGAATATTTTTAACAAGATCCAACTTTATCGTATCACAATTATAAAATAAAAAATAAATTTAGGTAATTTAAAAATTTTAAATAAAATTTTATTTAAAAAATTTTATTTAAAATTTTAAATAAAATTTTTTAAATAAAATTTTATTTAAAATTTTTAAATTACCTAAATTTATTTTTTATTTTATAATTGTGATACGATAAAGTTGGATCTTGTTAAAAATATTCTGATACAAAATAGCAAAAAATAAATTTATTTTGAAGTTAAAAATTTCAAACTTTTTAATTTTTCTTATTTTTATTTTATACATTTAATTTATAAATTTTAAAGAACTATTTACATACACTCCGTCAAGAAAGTTTAAGCACCCACAAACTTTTGTAAAAAAACAAATAATCCCTAAACATTGTTTTAATTTTTCCCCCATTAGGATTTCCCCAAAGTAAAAACATCGTTTTTGGGCTTCTCTCATTATGGCATATCCGCATGAAAACATGCACTTGCTTCTCTTTCGCCGCTAAAATTTCTAAAATTTCAACATAAACAAAAATTTTGCGACAGTTTTTGCAAAATTTTAAAGAAAGCTAAAAATTTGCATAATTACATATATTTTGCTTAAAAATATACCGTAAATGCTCGAATAATTACCCTCTCTTTTTCCTACACAAATTTCAAGAATAAATATTGAAAATATCATTATTATTTTTAATTATTGAAACATTTTAAGACATAATATCAAAAAAATAACTCAATTTCCTCCTCGATCTATTTAGATATACTCCAAATTTAGCACCTCTTCATGATTAATTACCCCCTCCAGCGTTAGGTAGAAATATTCGAGCATATACGGTATATTTATTAGGTAAAATTTTAATAAACATTTGTGTATACATATTTTTATTTTCTAAAAAATTAGAAATATTTAGAAAAAAATTAAGAAAAATATTTAAAAATCACATATCTCAAAATGTTAATTAAAATTAATAATTTTAGATATTCTTGTGTTATATCTCCGCAATCTCCTCTTTCAAAAGCTCTTGAAAAGACCTATCTTTTTCCCAAATGGGAGGATCAAGTCTGATCACCCATTAAGAAGTTACAAGACGATAACTGTGAAAAACAACGATTTCTTGCAATTTTCGAGTTGTAACCTTTTACTGAACAATCAAATTTGATCCATGCAGTTGGAAGAGGGTAGCACTTATCAAGGGCTTTCGAATGATATAAGAGCTAGACGGATTTGATCAAGTGTATAAAAGTTATAGCCGATCAAATTAGGAAAAAGGAGAAGAAAAGGAAAATGCTGGAGCATAACACATGAGTACCTAAGTAATTTTATAAGTATATTACAATCTCCAATTTAAGTACAACTTCCAATTCATTCATTTTTAATCACCAATGCATTCCTCATCCTCTTCATCACCCAAATAATCAGCAGCTTCCAATTCAGTTAACCCTCTTTCTGACATTGTTGTTTGCAGAAAAGAAGCAATCTCTGGATTTATTGCTATATCAATAGAGCGTTTTCCCTGCGAATTTTTTATTTGTAAATTAGCTCCAGAATCGACAAGTAATTGGACACATTCAATTCGACCTTTGGAGGAAGCAGCATGTAGAGGGGTATCACCCAACTTGTTCTAGTAAATAAAAAATGGGAAAAAATTTAAAAATTGGGTGCACACCTGTGCGGATATGGCAACATTCGAAATTGTCAATAAAATTTCCAAAATATCAAAATGTCCCGTATAAGCAGCCCAATGTAATGCTGTAGAAGAGGATCGATCTAGGCTATTTACGGATACCTGAATTCAAAAATAGACTTCCATTTTTAGCTGGGAATACCTTATTTTCCAAACATTCCCTTAAAAAATTACAATCCCCCATTTTGGCAGCTTCGTGTAAAGGGAATTCGATAAGCTCCAATTTTGTTTCAACAATTTCCTTTTTGTAGAGTTCTGACAATGATGAACCCTTTTGGGGGCATTTTAATTCAAAAGCATCCCCTTTTGTTTCGCGTAAATAAACAATATCATCAACAGTTAATGATAGTGGATTATACTGAAAAAATGTTTGATAATTTTTTTTTATTTTAAGGCAGAGTTCAAAGTTAACTTAAGCAACGATGATTAAAAAACGAAACCACTTAATGATAATACCATATCACTATATTTCCAAGGGATGTCATAATGGGTTCGGTTCGGCAACCAAAATCAAAATAAAGACTGGGTGAGTATGAAAAAATTCCGGTACTTTTCCGTTTTGTTACACCCCCCTATATTAATGCTCAAAATGTCACATATAGGGTAATTAAAGGTGCTGAGTCGAACGGTACCCTTCTTTTTTCCAGGAGATGTCTGTGAACCGAGATAAAGGGCTCGAAATGGTCAAAAACCATTGGGCCATTTTGGGGTAAAAATTCAAATGTGCACATAATAACTCATTCGAAAGAGCTCGATGAGCTGAGTTGGATGACACCAAAATCACCGTCTTCGAACAAGTTTGGACCGAGTTACGATACAAAAAATTGTGTGGTTCTTCAATTTTCAGGGACCTGAATCTCGGTCAAATCAAATCAGATTTCGTTGAACTTGGTGTCTTATGACTCAGCTCCATGAGCTCTTTCGAATGGGGTATTATTTGTATATTCGAATTTTTACCCCAAAAATGAACTTAATCCCCCCTATGGTTTTTGACCATTTCGAGCCCTATATCTCGGTCCACAGACATCTCCTGGGAAAAAGAAAGGTACCGTTCGACTCAGCAATTTTATTACCTTATATGTGACATTTTGAGCATTAATATACATATGGGGGTGTAACAAAACGGAAAAGTACCAAAATTCCTCATAGGGTTCGGAGATATGAAAAAACTACTTCTAACCAGAGCTGCGTCGAAATTTCGATTTCCGAATTTCGAAGATTTTTTTATTTTGACGCAGCTCTGCTCCTAACACAACAAAAAGCTTCATTTTCAATTTAACTCTAACAAAGTATCCCTATTCCTGTTCAAAAAATCCCATAATTTTGTAAAAATACGAATAACCTCATCTTGTAAAAAATTATCAATCACTCGGTAAACACGTATCCGACCAGGTTTTGGCGGTGGTGCAATTAAAGGCATAATTATTTTTGTTACTAAAATATTTTTTAAGTGACAGAATTTTAAAATATAAAAATCAAAATTAAAAGATTTAAAAAGTAGAAAAAAAATTAAATTCTGATGCTAAATTTATTTCTATGAAAAACATGAAAAAACAAACATTTTTAGAAAATGTTAGGTAATTTTAAGGTATGTTTAAAGAAGATTGAAAAATTCTTTGGTAAATGTTTACAAAGTGAATGTTGCGTCGAAAACTTTTGGAAATTAAAACTTGCAAATCCATGAAAGAACACTATTTTTTTTTAAATAGGAGAGGCAAATAATTATTTTACGAGGTTAATTAATGAATTATTTAAATAAATTCCCTGTTTACTTAACAAGTTTTAAATTCGAAAGTTTCCAAAAAAATATAAACAGACTAGAATTTAAAAACCATAAAAACTCTTTTGTAGAACATTTTTAATTAAAAACAATCACTGTCAACAACTCTACATTCATTTACTCTTCCAGCCAAAAAACTTCTCCCTTCATTATCTCTTGTCCACCCCAATTCTTCATCATTTGTTTGAGAATTTTTTTTAACTTTTTGTTCCAAAATTGGTTTAAAAGTAATAGACAAAGGGGATAATTGTTCTTCTAAAGGTAATAATTGATTTAATGATTCTGCACAACGAGACAATTCTTTGAATAAAATCTGAAAATAAAAATAAAATTTTTTTTTAATTCTGTTGATGTTTTAATCGTGTCGGGCTAATTCAAGGAACGGACAAGACAATGAACGACAAGTCAAGGAAAAGACAAATCAAGGAACGACCATCTTATGGAACTACTAAATCATGGAATATTTTTAAAAATCTGAATATTTTCAATAAATATTCTAAAAAATTTAGAATAGGTATTCTACAAAACAGAATTAAAAAAATTCTGATTTTTAAAATATTGCATGATTTGTTTGTTCCTTGACTTGTCGTTGCTTGGTTTGTTTGTTTCGTGATTTGGAATTCCTTGAGTTGCCCCTCACCCGTTTTAATATGTAAAAGTAAGGAAAATCAAAGTTTAAAATATCAGATCAAAAATAAAATTAGAGGATTAGTCGAAAAATCGGCAATATTGAACCTGACAAACCCCATTTTTTCCTCCCCATGTTTATTCCTATATATCTGCAGAACGGTCAATTTTTCTTTCTTCCATACAAGGGGGAATAAAAATTAATTTTTTTGATTGCTTGTAGGCAAAATTAGAAAAGCAATTGGAATGGACGAAACGAAGGTGTCTGACTAGTCTGCAAATAAATAGGAAAAAACTTGGGGAGGAAAAATGGAGTCTGTCAGATTTAATATTACCAAAAAATCTGTTGGCCAAATTAGCCCCCCACCCCTGAAAATAATCCTGGCTACGGGCCTGTATAAAATCTAAAAGTGTTTCCACGGGAATATTTTGGTTAAAAATTAACCACTTAATAAATTACCAATTCTTATTTTAAAATTTTAAAATTCGAAGAAACCTGTGCAGTATCAATCTGTTCAGATATAACAACAACTTTCTTCAATTCATTTCCCAAAATGTCTAATTTTTTATTACTATTTGTTACTTTCTTTACCAAAGACAAAGCTAATTGGTCAATCTTTTAAAATAATTTTTAAATTAATTAGTAAAAATTTAAAAATACTTATCGATTATCCCAACTCATTTTTGTGGACTATTTTTAGCTATTCCACAACCTAGCAAGACAGAAAAGAAAATGAAAAATTGGGGATGACTAATAATTTCTGCTTAATAAAAAAGAAAACAAATCCGCAACAAAAAGTCCGCAAACTAGAAGTCGGAAGAATCATATTTGGGGATCCCGCATTCGGGAGTAATTTTTAAAAAAGTGTGCGGGGGTAAATCCCGCGGGAATAATCCCTCACTCCCACAAATCGAAAAAAAGTGCGGGACAGCGGGAGCGGTACCCCGCAAAATCCCGCGCGGGATCCCGCCCCGCACCGACCTCTACCGCAAACACGGACAGGATTAACCAATAAATTTACAAAAAAACCTCAACAATATGTGCAAATATTCTTCCTTGTTCTGTCGTGACTGCTTCAGTACATTCCCGAAAATGTTGTTGTAATCGCTGAAGAAATCTATAAATTGGACGAGGGTCAATTTTCAAGAGAATTTCGGGTAGATCTCGATAACCAGGCAAAACACCTTGCATTAATGGAAGGAAATGAGGGATTTCCTGTTAATTTTTGAGAGAATTAAAAACGTAGCTTAATTTAAAACCTTAATCCTCCTCAAATCCAATTCGGCATTCACATCGCTAATTGAGGCTGAAGTTGATGCTCCGTCATTTACAACAACAATACTTGTCGACAACAGACTTTTTGTCGAATTCCCTTAAATTAGAATAAATTTTAATGAAAAAATAAATTAGGTTTTAGAAACTTTTTCGAGCTAAAAATGAGAAGGAAGCAGGAACGCCCATCGAGATTGTTGGAGAATTTAATTCTTTACTGCCTTGACTTCGACTGCGAACGCCACTTTGATCATTTCCCATATTTTTAAATTAAATATAAGCAGATAGAATTTATTTAGATCTAACGTTAAAAAACTAAATTGAAATAAAAAAACAAAAAAATGTTTTTACTTGTTAGTAGCAAAAGTGGTGTTTTTAGCCTTATTGGCAAAATTAGTCGTTGGCAATCTGTCGAGTAAAAGACGATTTAGTCGGAAGAGCCTGTTGAGCGTGGCCGATTGAGCGTAAGTACAATTGGATGTGGGCCGTTTGAGAGTGCCAGTTGCGCGTGCCTTGTTAATTGGCCAGTTGAGCGTGCAACGCGGAATTTTGTTTCAAAGATGGAAAAGTTGTTCCAGAAAAATAAAGCAGTAAAATGATTTGGGGAGAAAGGAAATGGAGGCTTTTATAGTAAAGCGTTGCCAGTTGAATTAGGTTTTAAGGGTAAGAAGATAGTATAAAAGCAGGGTATTTTGGTTGCTTAAAAATAGACCAAGTCAGTCATTGCTAGGAATCAAAATTCAATTGCCAACCGCTTCTGGGAGTCAACGTTCAAGCGCAAGGTCGGCCGCTGCATGAAGTCAACATTCAGGTGCAAAGGAGTCAACGTTCCGGTGCAAGAGTCAACGTCATTGGCGACAGCTGCTAGGAGTCAAGGTCGTTGGCAACCTGTCAGTGAATCATCTAAAGAGTGCCGTTAATGTTGTGGACATATTCCGCACACTCTTGTTCCATCGAAAATGTGGCTTAATAGATCGTGCAGAGTTCCTCATAGATAGCAGATTGGGAGATTAGTTGAACGAGGAGCTGTTTTGTCAATTTCATGCAATTGAAGTTCGATTGGATAGAACGGAGCACGATTGACCTATTTGAATGGTGGAAGGCCTGCAAATGAAGATTAAATTTTTGCGGACATAGGTCCACAAAATTTGCCCTTCGGTCAATGCAACATTGCAAAATTAGAGAAAAATTGATAAACAGATCCACGAGCTCGTTGACACCCTCCCTCGAACATCTACGAAAAAAGAGAAGTTAAAAGATTAGCTTATGTTGAAGAAAGTCTACAAAAACAAGTGTTCATTTATTAAATAATGTTAAAAGTTTAACAATGATTCATAAATTTATTTTCACATTTTTATGAGATTTACAAACATTTTAATGTAATGTACATAAATGTTTGATCATTAAATTATTTAATTAAATTTTAATTAATTTTAATTTTACTTCATACTTTCAAAAAAATATTTAGAATTAATGACAACTATTATATATTTATTTTTAATTATTTCTAATCTTCCTTTATTTCTTCAAGAATTTAGGTTTGCCCCAGCTAATTGGCTAGCCGGATTTGATGCCTATGGTTTGCTTAAATGTGTATTTTCTTAAAAACAATTGAGTTTAATATCCAAATCACATTTTTTCGATTTTAAGCAATCTTGTATTCTCTTAAAAATAGGAAGATTTTAAGCATATTTTCACAATATATATTTCATAAATTACTCAAATCTCGTCCCAAATCATAAAATTACTTAGAATAAATTTATTTATTTTAATCTTTATTTATTCTATAATTTCCCAGACCCAGTTCGTTGTGGTTTATCAATTCCATTTCCTTCCAATAAACGTTCCAAAAGGATGACGATATCAGAATTAAAAGTAAATTTAATTAAATAATTTTTCTAAAAACTTAAAAGTTTAATAGAATTTTCTTGAAATATTTTGTTAATTTTAAAAGGTATTAGGTGGAGAAGGAGTTCGTGAAGGTGAATATCCTTGGGCTGCTTATTTAATAACTCCAGTGGTGAGATGTACTGGAGTGCTTATCTCTAAACGTCATGTACTCACAGCTGCCCATTGCTTTAGGAAAAAAGTCGTTAATTTTTCATGTAAACTTGACAATAAGAATAGAAGAAAATGTTGCAAGTAATGAAATTAAATTTAAAAACAAAAGATTAAGTATCTATTAGGGTTCGGGGCCCGATTAGGTTCGAAAGATCGAATTGGGCATCAAATTTTGGCCCGAAAAAGACTCGGCCCGATTCGAGAAAAATTAGGCCTGGGACTTGGAGGCCCGATTCCTAACCCCAACCCTAGTATTTACCTACTATGTATTTTTGCTAAATTTATATAAATTTTTTATAAAATTAAAATTTTTTAAAGAAAGGGCGATGCCGTTGACATTAAAACGGTTAAATCAAAATATTTTGTTCATATTGGAAGTATTTGTGTTGGAGATAATTCAGTACTAAAGAATTGTAAATTACCTAAACATGCAATTAAATATACAATAAAAAAGTAATTTTAGTTGTTTAAAATTAAACAAAATATTTTTAAAAAATTATCTTTCAAAATTTAATTTTTCAACATTTAAGTGCCACATATCAACATTATTTTAAAAAATTTTGTGTTGGAAGTAATTATTTATTTAAATTTAATTTTTAAAATATTTATAATTTAAAAGGAGACTATGCAATAATAGAATTAGGGCACTCTATTCCACATGATCAAAATAGTAATTTTGAAGATGATAGCAATGAGAAAGTAACAGTGCCAGCAAATATTGCTAATCATATTGTAATAATTTAATTATTTAACTTATAGAAAAGGAAATATTATTCCTAAAAACTAGAGAGCGAGCTGGATCTGGATCCAGACATTGATTTTTTTGGATCCAGAGTCCAGATCAAGGCATTTTTCAGAGTTACTTGATTTTTGCTTGACTAAAGGTCAAGAATCTGGTTAAGGTACCCAACCAAAATCCTTGTCAAGATTTACTAAAAACTGAATTAATAAGAGCAGATTTGAGTTTACGAATTAAATTATTCATGATGAAAATATTGTTGGGGCAATTAATTCCAAAACTTTTAGGCATGATCTTTAAAAAAACAATTTTTGCTTGATTTTAGATTTTTAAGAATTATAATTAAAATTAGAATTAGCTAAATAAAAAATTTTTTTGTTAGAGATTATTTAATGAGAATTAACTATGCGAGAAATATTAAATTTAAATAATTTATTTAAATTAATTTAAAGTGTTTACTTCATTTGGATGAAAAAGTTAAACTTAATTGGACAGAGCTTGCATCGCCTGTTGTATTTGGATGGGGGCAATGTAATAATTGAAATAAATTAATTTTTATAAATTAAATTTTAAAATAGCTGTTAATTTTGACGGACAAGTAAAGTCTTCATCATTTCTACAAAAGGCTAAATTAACTTCTTTAATGAATCAAAACGATTGTAAAGACAATGTTATAAAATATTATGAAGATATTCTTTGTATAAAGTCTCCAGGAAATATAAGCACTTGCTCAGTTAAGTGTTGAAAAATAATTTTTTAATTGACTTGAAAGTCTGTTTACCTTTCCAATTTACCTTTCTTTACACCCATTATTTTTATTCAAAATTTGTTTTTGATTAAATTAATTGTCAAAAAATACAAATTAAAAAAACTTTTTTAAAGGGAGACAGTGGTGGAGGTTTGATTAGCCAATTTAGAGATTCACGAGGTATAAAACGATGGTTTCTTCTTGGTGTAACGTCGATGGGTCCGAATTGTAGTGTAATAATATCACAAAATAAAGAGAAAAATATTTTGGTAATTTAATTAATTTAAAATAAATTAATTTATTTTAAATTAAAAAGATGGACACAAATGCTTTTTATCATCAAAATGAAATTGATAAAATTATAGGAACCGAAGAAGGTGACCGAAAGAATTGGGAAAATCTAATTGGTTTTCATACTTTAGAATTTTGTTAATAAATTGAGAATTCTTTTAAAATAAAATAATTGAAAATAAGAATTAGATAATAATAAAAAGCTTGTTATCTTTAGTTTATAATTAAATTTAAATAAAAATTTAAATTTTAATAAATTTACTATCTGAGCTAGTCTAAAAAATAAATTTATTATTATTTACCATATTATTTTTTCAGAAGAATAAATATCAAGTAAGAAAATTGGCGAGAGATCTCTCACTAACGCTATTTTGAACATTTTCAATGTTTTTAACTCTTTAAATATATGAACATTAT